CATACATTTTAAAATGAATTTAGGATGCATCAGATGAAATCAATACATACTAATTTTGCTAATAACAATGCGTCTTTCATTATCTGTTGGCATCTTTCTTTAACTGTGTGTTCTTTTATTTTTGGCATAGTAAAAAAGATATACAGCGTCAATTGATTTAAGAACTGGATGCCTAATCACCGTGGAAGGTAAAGAATAGAATGAAAAAAATTCGTAATTTGTTTTCCTGGTATCTGAATAAAAATCAAGCATCTAACTTGAGAATTGCTTTACCTCGACAAAGTAAGACCAAGCAATACCTTCCTTTGGCAATATCCCATGTCTTATTTCCTGGTCGTTTTTGGAAATAGACATGAACGAACTCTCATTTTGGTACTTCATTGGCCGCAAGGTTGATGTTTCTACAGGTATTTTTAATCATACGTAATAATGGCATATGCAATCAGGAAAAGCATTATCAATTAGTTTTTGGATTGAGCGAAAGATGTTAATATCTTCCTATTGAAATTGGTTTGGGAAGAACGACCCCTGCAATACACTGCATGAAAATCCCTTCCAGCTGAGATTGACGCGTGATTTCTTTTATAAGTACATGTACAAATACGAGACGATAATCGATCTGCATTCCAACAAAAAGGAAATCTCGATCCGGAAACAATCAAAATTGATGCAGAGTCTCGGAGCACTTAAACCTTATCGTGCTCAACAAATTATCTTTTATCTGATAGTGTTTTGGCGGCGCATAAAAGAACAAAGAAGAAAATCTTGTTAGTATCGATGAGACACCACCTCGTTTCACCCAGTCAATTGAAATATGCGTATTAAGGAGATGATTGCAGTTTTTTCAATTTATATCATATATTATAATTTACGATCTCAAAGTGCAATCTAATTTTAAATTTTAATCAGATTATTAATATGCCATCATCACTGGCAGTTTACAGGTGACATTTGCACGCACACACTTATCCAATTATATAAAAATACATAAGTTTCTCACGTATCTTCTAATAACATGTGTTTATATTACATTTTCGGAGTGTGGTAAATCGTATCATCTCATCACCATCATGTCATTGTTTCAAAAATAACTAATGATAGGTGTGTTTGTACTTTAATCGATAATCGTGAATTTAACTTGGTTATCTGAGGACTGGCTTAATGCGTAGTAATCAGAATCATAAAACTTTCGTGATTTACATTTTTTCGTGTGCATGGGTTGCACATGTATAATGTAATGTGTGAGAAAATTTCATACGCATTATTAATTTCAATTTTCATTTTCACAGTTTTTGATTTATATTTCTATGGCTGGATATATATTTTATATTTCTATATTTTAAAAGGAATTATATAATACTAATACATGTACATGTATAAATACAATTATTTATACATGTATCAGAATTTTTCCAGTCCCTGCAATACATTTGCACGTCTATAATTAAAAAATTTGGTACTCTAAAAAAAGGATGTGATTATATGATTATAATGGATTTAATATGTTTTTAGTTGACAGTATTCTGACCATTTGGTATATCATTTTGATTTGATACAGTAATTAGCGCACTTCGTAATAATAGAATAATTTCTAGTATAATCCGTTGACCAATAGACCAAATGTGTACCAAATTATCATTATTTATATATATAGACAAAGCAATTGGAACAATATTACCTCTTGCTTGTATTATTGAACTTCGGGGTTTTGTCGCTTTTACCAGAAGAAGTAGTTATTGTATCAGTTCCCCTTGAAGGATAATCTAACCGTGAAGAGGCTTTATTCAATGTTGTATCTCGTGATTCTGTGAAACCCATCCCGTTTGCCTTAAAAGAAATCTATTATTTTATGAAATGTGTAATCTCCTTTACCTTTCTAAATAATTCTTTATAAACATTCGCATTTACCATCGACAGTAACCGTAGTTACTGGCGAAATCCAGTTAGAGAGACCCGCTTACATCAAAAAATCTTCAGTCCAACCTCCCACAACGTGTTAAATCTGTCCAACTTTGAAATCTAACATAATGACAAATATCGCATGTATCCGGTAGAAAAACTTGTAATTGAAGTCGAAATTTTTTTCCTTGCTCCTTTCCATCCATTATTTGTAAAATGCCTGGAGAAAAACTAACGATAAACAATAACATGCAATTAATTAACAAATTCGAGTTATCTAATTTAAGCAATTTTTTGCTTAGATATCCTATAATAGGAGAGACTTGTATTTGACCAAAAAACAAATATCGTATATGCTAAATTAGAAAATTAAGCATTTATGATTGGGCTTGGTACATGTACAGTACATGCATTTTCTCATCAACATGACGTATCAGTATGCACATGTAATTTCCACCGCATACATGTACATGTACATTGTAAATAACTAGCCACAATAAAGAAACCGATTGACATCAAAAATTCCCATATCTTATAAAAGTGAAAAGAGAAGCGAAAGTAACTCAAGTGACGCCATAGAAAACTCTGTGTTGCGAAAATACTATCTGTGATTGTGGCTACTGTGGCTAGAATGATTTGAAATCAAACTCGATCGACACGAAATATATGCATAAATACGGGTAGGTCCACGCCGCCAAAGAATTCAGACCAGACGATCACATCCATTAGCATAGAAAATGAATCCACCAACTAACGAAATGGTTAATGAACTTCCTCCTGTAAATTTGATGACGACTCGTCCACTCGTCTTTATCAATTTAAGTGATCCAGTCAACCAGAAACAAATGATAACTCACGACGTTACCAGTCTGACGTTTAGACCTCCTTTTCCACCAGTTCTTGAAGCCGAAGATATTTTCGGCAAAAAATCAAATGGAACCAACCCTACCAAGCCACCCAATGCATTCATTCTTTATCGCAGGGCATTTGTAAAGATCGCTTTAGCTAATGGATATAAGCTCCCTATGACCGTGGTTTCTATGATGGCTTCGCAAGCCTGGGAACAAGAATCATCATTCGTCAAAAATGAATACAAAAAGATTGCCAAAGAGGCGAAGAAAAATCATGAGTTGTTGTTTCCAAAAGTGACTAAAAAAAGCGACTCTAAAAGATGGCGTGTGTATCCAATCAAGTCAAGAAATAAGTCTACATCAGAACAAACTGAATCTTTAACTGTAAATGAGGAGTCGTTGACCATTTCTGAACCATCTACCCTTACTGCACCACAAATCGTTATTGAGGATGACGGTACTTCCGATGAATGGGAGCAACTTTTCAATTTCCATGTTGATCCAAATAAGGAAAAGAACGGCGAGCAAGATGGTTTCATTTGGGAAGATTTTCTCGAGAATTATGACAACAATGATCAAGTAGATTATCAGAGTTCAGTCGATAATTTCCAATTGCCAAATTTACCATCATCTGAACTTGCGATTGAAACTCCACGCGACATGTTCCTAAATGTCAAAAATAATGCACAAAATTTTGACTTAGAACCCGGAATGACTTTATTAGCTCATTTAGAGCAAAATCAAATAAATGAATCTCTAAATGTATTTGATTCGCCAATTGAACCTTGCCAAGAAGTTTCGTCAATTCCGGAACCCCTAGAATTCATTTTCTCTCAGAAATCGGATATTTTTGCTGATTTTATCGATTTCGAAATTCCTTCAAAATCATTGAATTACCCAATTGAAAATCCAGACGAACAAATCCTTTCCTTTCACTGAATTTTTTAAAATTTAAAAATCTAAGTGTCAGTAAGAAAGTTATGATAAGATCAACTCCATGCTAATATAAAGACACCATAAGCTTTTATAAATTCTATAAATTCTGTGCACATATGCTACCCATTATACCATATATTATGAAAAATAGGATATAAGTTTAATATCATTTTAAGTCATACTCAAGTTAGTAAAACATATTTTAATTTATCTAGATGTATTCGATACTTTCTTGCTGGTATCTAAATTTATCAAATTTATCATATATTCTTCTATCAAAATATTCTTTAAAATATAAATCTAAAATTTTTATGCTGATATTATGTAAATATAAAAAATTATGGGCGGATAAAATAAAATTTGGTTGTTTCACTATGGAATGTAATAATGATGTTCGAGAGAAATTAACTAAACTTGACCATATTTTGTAAGAAACTTTTTCAAAGCATCGCAAACAGATCTGATTATTTAACTGAATTTATAGCTGAAACAACGCAATTTGAAACAATTGTGGATAAGGAATACTAATGATTACACCTCAAATTTTTGATATATAGATGTATACATATAAGTATTAAAAATTTGTAATCATGTTATCATTTTTTAAACCTCTAATGTTCATATACAGTATAGACACAGCAAAGAATCTCTTGAAACATTTTATAAAGTGAATTCAAATATGAAATTGAATACTCATAATGTAGTCAATGTCATTATTTTCAAGAAAATACATATTGCTTTTGTGGCGGTTTCAATTATCACAAACGAATTTATTTTGATAAATGTTCTTTCTATTATCACAAACAAATTTGTTAAAGATATTACATAGGCAAACTCGATAAGTCGGATCTGTTGGGGCAGACTCCTGTGTCCAACTTAACGAGGTATCCGACTTAACAAGGTATCCGATTTATCATAATAATAAATTATAAACATACTTTTTATTTGCATGCTATGAGCTAATACAAACTATTTTAAAATGTAAATATAATAGATAATTCAATTTTCATAAAAAGTTTCTAAGGTAGACTGTTTTAGAGAAGGAATTTGCTTTCTTTGAATTTGATACTGAAGGTTTTCATTCCGATGCATTTGTTTTTATATCAGAATTATATTGTAAATAATTGAATATATTTTGAATGCTATTCAAAGCATCCATATTTGATATTGAATTGCTTATGATTTCTTCTTCTTAACTTCTTCTTCTAATGCTTCTTGTATTGCTGCGATTATTTCCTCTTCATCAATTATTTCAGTGTCTTCTATTCTGGCATCGATATTAATATAATCGTTTACTTATGATATTGTCAACATTCATTTGGTTGATAAGTAATTGAACTGCATTTTTCTCATTTCCAATTCATTTTCTAATTTGACCATTTCTTCATCAGGCAAAATACCTATTCTTTGCCAATAGCAATATATTATGTCATCAGTGACATTATTCCATGCTTGCATGGTCCAGTTAATTGCATTTAAAGCATTTAGTTTAGGAACATTCACATCCAGCTCTTGGTATTCATCAAATGCTCGAATTCTATCTTCACATAATAATTTTCTATAATGGGCCTAATAGAAAGAAAATAAAATGTAAAATTTTCTTATTAAAACAAGTATTATACATATGTATAAGTATAATTATCTTGAATGAACTTATTATGTCCTGATTGATTAGCTGAAGATAGGAAGTTATATTCAGTAGAAGAAAATGCAGCTTAATATTATTTAATTCTTCTATTTCATCTTCTTTAATTAATATAATGAATAATTATTTACTAGTAATAAGATATTTCTTCTCCATTTTTGCATCTTTCTGTTAAATTGCTTAATTCATGTTTTAAAAATAGTATATTGTATTCATGATGCATTATTCCAGTAATATTATACAAGAAGTATTCATTTATCAATATGATGAATATAGTGTAGACATTTATATTTATAAATAAATAAAGGGAGTAATTTGTAAGTTCCAATCACATTACATGTAAGCATTATAGTGACTCTGTCTTTTAGCTTTTTTAATCTGATAATAGATCCACTGGCAAGAGATTTATGAGGTTCTAATTTTCAGTAAAGACCTGTTTCATCAGTATTATATACATTTTCCAAATTATACTGTGAAATAATTAATTGAAGTTCAGTTCTAAACATAGATAATTCATTAATTAGTGTACTTGTGGCTTCTCCTAATTTATAATATTCTCTGATATTGTTTCATTTTTTGAAATTTGTAATCCAGCCCTATTAAGAATCAAATAAATAGATGTCAATAATCACGTCAAATTGGATTACTAGATGATAGTGACCAATTATATAACAAACCAGCCTGTTACTCTCAGTATGAAAAGAATTGATACTTTTGTTTGAGGATTTAAAATCAGAAATATTTAACTTTCTAGCAAATTGCATTGCCTTTTGACTCAAAATCATACTGGTTAATGTATGATTAGTCTTATTGGCAAGATTTACCCAAATTGCCAATGCTTCTTCCATCTGTGGCCATTCACCCTCACGATTATGTTTTTTATTGGCATTTATTAAGCTTTTGATAATGGCAAGCCATTCTCTTTTTCTTTAATAATGTCTCCTACAGTTGATTTGCTAATGCCAAATTTCTTACAAATCTCTTTATACGACTTGGATGGATTATTTCTCTTATATTTGCATAATTCTTTTTTTTGAATACTAGTTAGTGAGGTTAATTTTCTTCCCTTTTTGCTTCCAAATCTAGACATTTCTTCTACGTTCACAATTGCCATTTGGTTGTAAATTGGAATGCGTGTTTTTGAAAATAATTGAATATCTCAACCTTTTTATTGTCTTAAGACAATGTATTTACAAATGATATATTACGATAATTAAATGATGACATAAGATAATAAAATATTGTTTAGATGCTAAATAATGATGCAATTATTGAGTACCGTATTTGCCCCAAAATAAGCACCCCCGAAAATAAGCACAAACGGCTTTTAGTTTTCAAATATAGGTTTTTTAAGAATAAGCACGTCCATATTATATTTTATATCTTAAGTTCGTCCACAGTCATCAGAAAGTTCTCATTTTTTTGAATATTATCCTTTAATATCTTTCAAATGTTCTCTTGGTTTCAGGTCTGGGGAATTCGCCGGCCAATTAATAATCACGATTTTATTTTCCCTTGTTTTTCCCGCAGTATGTATCGGCGCATTGTCATATTGAAAGATTGCGTAACTTCCAGTTAATTCCCTAATTGCGTTCTGGAATGGAAGTAATTGAGTTTTTAAGATTTCGAGGTAGGTATTTGTAGTTATTTTTTCGCCATTTTTTTATATTCATCACAAAAAATTAATGGTCCTTTCGCGAAATATCTCCAAACCATTACAGATTTTTGTCCATTTTTAAAGGTAGATGCCAAATAATTAATGTTAAACTTTTCTCCAGGATGCCGCCAAACTCTTGGCTGCCGTGACTGCTTTCCAATTTCCACACTGGGTTTCATCAGAGAAAATTATTTTCAACCAATCATAAGCTGATTTATTTTTATTTTCTTCACACCATTTAATTTAATATGAGCATATGTATGTGTTTCCGAGATATAATGTTTCTTTGCTGCGATACGTGAGTGAAGTCTGGAGTTGTGCAATACATTTGCGATGGTTGATAAACTACAAGTGAGGCCTAAATTATTGACTATTTCACGTAGTGATGCATGTCGTTTTTCGCTAGCTTCACGTATAAGTATATTCTTTTCGTGATTGTTTAAAGCTGGTAATCTTCCTGAATGTAATAAGTTTTCACTTTTCTGGTTCGTTTATATTTGTTTAGAAAGTGGCGTACCGTTGTAGGGTCGCGTCCGAGTATTTTTGCGATTTAAGCGGCATTTGCGATGTCCATGTACTCCAAAATCTTCTCCTTTTCAATTTCGTTAAGCTGCGTATAGGTGGACACCATTTTTTAACCTAACGAAATTACAGTGTTGATTAAGTGGCAGCAGGTAAACAAAGTAATGTTTATTATCAAATAAGGGATAAAACTTGATAAATGTATTTTTAAAAAATGGGTACTGTACATTTGTCATTCAAAAAAATATGCCCGAAAATAAGCACGACCCCGATTTAGAGCCGTGCTTATTTTTGGGGCAAATACGGTAATTACACAGTATTTTGGTACGTTACTAAAATAGTAAGGATTATCCGTTATAGTCACGTGGTCCGACTTATCGAAAATTTTTAACTATTCAAAAAAGGGGCCGAAAATTTTTGTCCGAGTTAAGCCAAATCCGACTTATCGAGTGTCCGACTTATCGAGTTTGCCTATGTAACAATCTAATAGAAGAATGCAATAATAAATCCTTCAAATAGATCCCTTTTTGAAAGATTTACCAATATTAAATATCTTGTAAAAGGAGGTTTCGGAATAATTTACAAAGCATTGTCACTTGAACTTGGTATATGGGATTACAAAAAGAATGAGTTTAACTTATCTGATTCTTCTACTGAAGTGATGTTTAAAACATTACAAAATTCAAAGCAAATTACATTAGAGTTTAAAAACTAAGTAAAAATTTTTAATACTAAATTGTAAATAAGATTATATTTACCATATCAGTTGGAATGAGAAATTAAGACATTTATATGATATCCTCTCAGGGTTGCTAAAAATTCACGATAAGGGATTGATACAATATTTGCATATTATTATGTAACAATCGCTGATTTTAGACTTGCTGGTACAACAGAAGCAAAAAAAATCTGATCAAAAAATATACGGAGTACTTATATGAGTCCAGAGGTGCTAACTGGAAATCCGTATACTATAGCAGATATTTATAGCTTTGGAATGGTTATGTACGAAATTGTGACAGGTAAACGACCATCTGATGAGCGAAGTTATGAGATACATCTCGTATTAGATATCTAACTTATCAAATAATGTACCCGGATGGTGTAAATTTATTATCAAAAATATTGGAATCTTATTCCAGAAAACAGATCAACTGCTAAAGAACTTTTCAACTTTATTTAGACCTATATATGAAAGAGGAAGAAGAGTAAAAAGCGATCTGAATATTTTGCATTTTCAGTATTACCATACTTTGGAGGATAAAATACACTTAAACTATGAAAAGAAAGATGCAACTACTTAATAAGGAGATAAAATCGCAAAAAAATTACTAAAAATATAGACAAAAACAAAGCATCCACTCAAATGCAATATATATACATCTTTACTAAGAAATTAATTTCAGTTCCAACTGACACAGGTATTTTTTACTTTCATAATGATATTATTTCGTATTGAAATTTATTTTGGGTTCTATAAATATCAGTTTGTATGTACCAAATGAGGGTATAATCGTAGTTTAATATGTACATGTACATGTATTAATTTGTTTATTTATTTAAATATTCGTTACCATTACATAAACTTTAGCATATGTAACTACGGAACTTGACATAGATATTGATACAAATGTCAGTTCGTATGCATCAAATGATGTAAATGAAGGTAAAATTATTATCTATTGTTAGATATATAATGAATATTATATTATTTATTTACAGGGATTGTTTTATTTTAGTATCAACATATACTTTTTAATTGAGAATGGTGAGAAAGATGCCAAATTTTCAAAAAAATTAACCATTCAAACACAACGTGAGTTTTATCGTTATATCAACATTTTTAACATCATATATTATTTCTAACTTTCATTAAAAATTAGATTTCAAAGGGACAAACGTCCCATTGAAAACGCGCCAGAAGTA